CTTGTATATATGTGTGGCTCGTCCCTCCTGGGTAGCTCGGTTGGTCATGTATCCTTCTCAGGAAGTATTGTCCATCTCCTCCACCAGGGTTCGAGTCCCAGGGTTAACGTGTCCGAAGGCCCGGAACCTCCTGCGTCTGAAAAAAAAAATGTATATATGTGTGGCTCACAAACAAATTAACCTTGGTTTTAATACTTTAATTAGTTCTCGAGCCTTAGAAGCTGATTGAAAAGGCTTGTTTTCAAGTCTTGTAGTTGTGAGTTGTACAACATACTTTAGTCTCACCCTTTACAAGTTATTATATCAACAACTTCATCCCCACTTCCCTAGAATCTTGCCCTATTGAGGCTCAATTACTTGCAGCAAGCTTTATGCTAGACACGCCTTTCACCCTAGCACAACTTCAGAGAATTGTGCTTGTTAACATATTTAGGTACAAATGGCATCCTGAGATACAGTTGTTAGAACCAGAAGACCAAAGATGCAATTATTCCTACCCAGAGAGAGAGAGAGAGAGAGAGAGAGAAGGATGCAATTAAAAAATCATTTGCCAGCCCTTTTGCATGTTAATGCACTTTGTCACCAATGAAAAATAAAATAAATTAATTAAGGAGATTTTTTTTTTTTGTTTTGCCATGGATTAGACATTTGAACCACTTGAACATGTCTTTGTTTTCCTAATTTGTGGGATCTTCTTTTCCTATATGATTGCGTCATCAAATTTTATTCTAATCAGTGTATAAAAACTTGGCTAAAACGGAAATGAGCAAGAATCCAAGTCTAGTTTCAGTTGTTGCAGGGGAATTCGTCAGCTACCAATCATATGCTTGGCATATTCCTTACGATTCCTTTTATACTCAAATTAAGCCTATTTGATTGCTTATTACTTGCTACAGATTTGTCTAGTTAGGCAAGAATCTTTTGAGAGAATGTCTATAAAACCCAATTACAAATTTAAGTAACAAATGTGAAGTTCTGATTTGATGCAAATATTTAGATTATGTGGTTGCATTTTATATAATCATTTAGTCTTGAGTCTTATGGTCTAATTAAGATGCTCTTAGGTGATATCCCACAGATGAATTAATTGTCAGTTGTCACCCATGATAACATTTAAATTGTGGCAAAACATTGTCAGATAGTAAAGTTTGTACATATTATTGTCACATTTTATAATGATTGATACTACTTTGCTGCCTTTTGCACAAAAAATTCTTGGAGTGGCTTGCCAAATATTTGGCATAGTTTGAGATGTCTATGCCTGTGAGCTTCATTGCCAAAAAAAAAAAAAAAAAAGTACTCTATCCTTCAATTAGTACTTTGTAACATCGAATATTGACCTATCCTTTCTGCTATTTATTAACAAAGTTAGAGAGAAATTACCTAAAAATAAAGGAATATAGTACAAGATGATGAAAGTAAATACAATTGTAGTCTAAAAGTAATATAGAGCTTGTAACATGCCGTGTATGCTTTGTATAGCTAAAGTGACAGCTTAATGTATCCTGCTTTGTGTTCATTGATATGAAGATGATTGGAGAACGTGTTTTAAGAGTTTTTGGGGAACTTGTATCTAAGGAAATCAACCATCCAATCTTTATACAGATGCAATATATAGCGTCTTAGTGTATTGTGCTTATGGTATATAATTTTTTGGTTATGATAGTTTGATTAGGTGGTAACAAATATATGTGTCCCTAGTCTTGGGCTTAGAACATGAATATGCTGTGTTACTGTTACTTGAGTTTTAGTTTTTCAATTTTCCTTTGTCATTCTTTTGCTAATGGTGGTCTAAGGAGATCTTTTGCTAAGCTTTATATTTAATTCCCCTAGCAAAAGTTAATGAGATAGGCAGAATTGAACAATGATTAAATCTCACTAATATTTTATCGTTTTTGAGTTTGGATTTTTAAATGTCTATACTCTAGCAAATTGTCCAAAACTGATTTGTTGAAACTTGAAAACCTCCAAATTGAGTAGTAAATTCTTCAGCTTTTCTCAATGTTTAATGGGAATGCGAACGTCACAGTTTGCAAGAGATTCTCTTTTCTTGGCTTTACAAGGCCTTTTTTTTTTTTTTTCAGTTTACTGATGCTAATCAGGTCGAAACTTTTACCAGCACAGTTCAAACTGCTACTTCTTTGACAATCGATTCTATATATATATATGGCTTCCAGTGGTTTGATCTCTCAAAAGGCTCCTAGCTTAGTAACTTGTAGTAATGGAGTTTGAAAAGATGTATTTTGATGTTGAGCCAAGCTACATTATTGATCATCATTGTTGTAGCTTGGAAACTGCATTACCTTTCCAGAACAACCATTTGTCTTTCCAAGATTATGTTTCCAATGATATTGTTAGCACCGAAAACTTTCTTGAAATGGAAACAGATATCAAGGATTTCGATTCCATAGCTAAAAATTGTGCTTTAGACCACGAAAACGTGGTACACAAAAGATTGTTGCCCTGTCAAGAAATCCAAGAAACTATGGATATTTTGGCTGCTGAGCAATCCCATTTGAAGGATATTCAAGATGAACTCATGGAAGAGAGCAGCTTAACTGATCTGCTGCTGATGGGGGCAGAAGCTATTGAAGCAGGAAATGTTCGTTTTGCTTCATTAGTTGCACTAAGGCTCAAGGATATCCTATCTGATCAAGAAAATGGTGACAATCCAATGGATAGGTTAGCTTTATATTTCACTCAGGGCCTTCTTGACAAGAGCCTCGCTGCTCCTGAGCTTCCGGAGGACCCCGTTTCGCAACAAACCAATGCTATCACAGCCTTCCAAATGGTGCAGGAGCTGTCACCATATGTGAAGTTCGCGCATTTCACAGCCAACCAGGCAATCCTGGAGGCAGCCGAAGGTCTTCAGGAGATTCATGTTATTGATTTTGACGTCATGGAAGGAATTCAATGGCCTTCTTTGATGGTTGACCTTGCTGCTAGAGAAGATGCGTCTCTTAGGATAACAGCTATTGTTGGCGACAAAAGAAGTTCATGTAATATTCAACAAACAGGTTTTAGGTTACAAGATTTCGCAAATTCAATCAATCTTTCTTTCTCCTTTGACCAAGTTCTGGTAACAAAAGAAGAAGATTTCGAAGAGATCAAAGTAGGGCATACCCTGATAGCTAATTGTATGATTAATCAGCTTCACATGCCTTGTAGAGAAAGCTCATTGGTCAAAACATTTTTCAACGGTTTGAGGAAACTGTCCCCAAAGATATTGGTTTTAGTCCAAGAAGAGTTATTCAGCTTCTCTAAAGCTCCATCTACATCATTTGCGGAGTTCTTTTGTGAGGCCTTAGATCATTACACAGCACTCTCTGATTCACTCCGGAGTGGTTTTTGTGGAGGTTACAAATTAGCATTAAAGATCATAGAGAGGGAGTTCTTGAGAAAGAGAATTTTGGATAGTGTGAAACATTTTCCTTGTGGGATCATGGGAAATGAAAGTAACATGTTGCCAGATTATCCTTCTATGAATGGATTCAGGCCAATTCCCATGAGTTCCTGTAACGTTACTCAAGCAAAGCATTTAATCAGTTTGTTTAATGGGGGTTACTGGGTGCAAAATGAACACTGCAAGTTAACATTATGTTGGAAATCAAGACCTTTGACCACAGCTTCCATTTGGGTGCCGACAGCATCAAGCAAGACTAGTCTTGCTAGGTCAACTTATTTTTAATTGGTTTTAGATCAATTTCCTTGGACTTTGGATCATATTATATATTGGAAGCTAGTGTGACAGTATTTTCCATTGTGAATAGCCATGTTTTGTTTTTAAGATTTGAAATTGAAGAGTTGAAAGTGATTGTATACAATAAAAAATTTTCATGCTAGCAGTGAGTAGTTAGGTTGCAAGGTGTGACCAATGTAGCAAATGGAATCTTCTTTGCCTTTGTTTTCCCTTTCAGATGGCTTTTACTCTTTTTCCTTTTGTTGGTTGTGGGGAATATTAGTGCAGAAGCACATTAGAAGGAGGAGAATGTGACTACAAAATGAAAATGGGGAAAATAAGTGGCCCCAAAACCTTATCAACTTTGAGAATTTTATCAGCAGATTTATGTTCTTGAAAGTAGATATTATCCAAGTGTTATTGTTTTTCAAGTTTCTCCATATGGCTTTTAGCTCCACGATATACAAGCATCAAATCAAATTAAAGAAGATTCTAAAAGGTTTGTAGTTTATAACTGAAGTACACTTTACTCCCTCATACTATAGTGGCAGTTCGTTCCCATCTAAATTCTCTTTGTTAGGACTTTAAACCCTTTAGGCTTTTTTTTTCTGGTATAACGCACAGGTATTTGCATCCGTTTTATGATCTGCGACTAATCCTGTTTGAACTCTTGCATCAACATCCGTTGGTTTAAGCCCTTTAGTTACTACTCCAAATATCTGAACAATAATCCCAGTGTACTTTGAGAGTCCATTTATCCTTTAGCGTTTCTTTTTCATATTTTTCCCGTAACTAAGAAGAAACAAACTGATGAGAATAGTGAAGTTCCTATCAAGATTGTATTCAGACCTTATTTAGTAAACTAGCTTTTCAAGAAACTCTCAAATGGTTGTAGTTAATCTCTTCAAAAGTTAACTCATATTCCTCCGAAATGAGTAAAAAAACTGCTACAAATGTTAATTTTTCCAGATCAATAAAGCAAATTCAATAGGTTAAAGGCAGTGAAGACCTCACCACAATGTGGTCACAAGATGGGTTGTTGGAACTTAATCTAAATTTGCTTCTAGAATATAACATGTGAAGAGAAATTAAAAAAAAAAAAAAGTAATAAAAAACCAGGTCACAAGTAAAATCTGCTCGAAAGAAATTCCATGGAGGTAACATATGTACAAAGAAAATACAAGATGATTGTAACTAAACTTGCTCTAACAAACACATTTATTACTTAATGTTGAAAAATCTCAAGACACGGTTGATTTTAAGGTTAACAGCTACAGGGAATGATTGAACAGTCAGAGTTGTGTCAACTAATTTCCATGAGTGACAGAGCACAAATATATCAATCTATTGTCAAGACTTGTACAAGATCCAAAGCGATGCTAGATTTCTTACATTCCAAGGAAATGCAGCTAAAATGCAACAACTCGAGGGGAAAAAAACAAAAGAAAAAAAAATAAAGAAGCTCAATAGCAAATAAAATATTTAGTATATAGTATAACCGAACACAAGCTACAAAAAGGGTATATGGTAGAATTATCAGGCACGTAGAGCACTGCGCACCTAAAAGGAGGGAGGAAACTGAAAACCAAAAAGCAGAACCAATCTAGCCACAGAAGTGATTTACCCCAACCACTATTAGCAGAAACATGTGAATAGTTTCAAGAGCTTAAGGACTGAAACTCACAAGTGAAGAACTTTTTTCTTCATTGGCTGTTCAAGCACTGCAAGCTATATTTCCAGATTGCCATTTTAGATTGAATATCTTCTAAAGTGGTTAACAAATGTAAGCTTTAAACAGTGTGCAAGCTCTCCAATTTATCCAGTGATCATTGTTCCTACTCCTTCATCAGTGAGAATCTCAAGGAGTAATGAGTGCTGTACTCGTCCATCAAGTATAGTTGCAGTCCTGACACCTTGAGCTACGGACCTCACGCAGCAATCCACCTTTTGAAACATCCCACCTGCAATCTTCCCATCATTCATCATCCTCCTCGCCCCTTGGATATCTAATTCCTTCACCAAACTTCCTGGGTCACCTTGGTCCTCTAGAATTCCAGCCACATCAGTCAAAAGAATTAACTTCTCTGCTGCCAAGGCCGCAGCAACCTCACCTGCAGCTATGTCTGCATTGATGTTGTATGACTGGCCTGTCTTGTCAGCAGCTACAGAGGCAATGACTGGGATATGACCATTGTCAATGAGTAGTCGAAGCACTGTGGGGTCCACAGTGGCTATATCACCAACGAAGCCAAGCTGATCAGAATTTTGGGAAGGCCTGGCAGTCAAAAGACGGCCATCCATACCAGATAAGCCAACGGCAGAAGCCCCTGCCTTGTTGATTAAGGCAACAAGATGTGTGTTCACTTCACCCGCCAATACCATCGAAACAATTTTCATGGTTGTTGCATCAGTGACACGACTTCCATTCACAAACTTGGGCTTCGAGCCCAACCTACCAAGCCACTGGTTGATTTCAGGACCCCCACCATGGACCATGACAATGCGAAGACCAACACGAGAGAGAAGAACCAAGTCAGACATTACAGAAGCTTGAAGGGCCTCAGACTTCATGGCTGCACCTCCATATTTGACCACAATTGTCTTGCCATGGAACTTTTCTATATAAGGCAGCGCCTCCGGAAGGATATTGACTCTTTTTTGTGCTGATATGGAACGTGCTTCAGGTACAACTACAGGTTCTGATGAAGTCCCGTGGCAGGAGCTCCGAAAACTAAGAGAAGGATTGGTATACTTTTTCGTAATCCATTTGTTGATGCCTATGCAGTTTGTTGAGGTGAGATTAGCATCAGGAGATTTGGGTGCCTTTATCAAAGCGGAGGAGAGAGGGAGGGATTTAGCAGGCAGCATTTCTTCTGCCTAACCTCCTTTTGCGTGGACTATTTGGGTCAAAGCAAGAAATCCAAACCAACCACACTCCAAGCAAAACGCAGGGAAACAGGTCAATGAGATCTGCAATAATAAGAGACTCCAAATTGGAACAGCAACAATTAAAATTTTGTTTTACAACTGCAAAGCAATACAGTTACGTACAAAAAAGCACACATCGTTGTGTGAAATTTGGGACTAGAAAACAAATTTAGGATGTCAAAATCACAATCTTTATACGTCAATGAGATCTGCAATAATAAGAGACTCCAAATTGGAACAGCAACAATTAAAATTTTGTTTTACAACTGCAAAGCAATACAGTTACGTACAAACAAGCACACATCGTTGTGTGAAATTTGAGACTAGAAAACAAATTTAGGATGTCAAAATCACAATCTTTATACGTCAAATTCAGAGCCTAGATTACTAATGGAGCTCCCCTTACAGGTACAAGGAGGGTGTTGGAGGGATTTTTCTCTTTATAGTTCAAATAATAATGAATTATGGTTGATGACCAAGCATCTTCCAGATTCCAAAAGGTATTATTCGTAAAAAGAAAAAAAAACAATAAACAAAACTGCCACTGAGGTTCATATAGCACTATAACAATTAAAGAACTGCTCAAGTGCAAATCATACAAAAAGTTCAGCAACCAGTGAAATTTAAAGCCAGTAAGAGGGTTCAGGAATTTCAAGATTGTCAAGTTTTATTCTTACTAACTAATAATCATCAGGTCAATAAACTCCAAAACTGATACCATTACAGCAGAAGTTCTAATTCTCATTCTCAGAGAACAGACAAATCATTAGATAATTTCCATCATGTTGACATAATATTTTAATAAAATGGACGTAATTGCAGTCACAGGGCCAAGGATAAAGAATGGAGCGCACAAAGTTTTCTTGGAGATCATTAGTACGAAAAATCAGGAACGTATCAACTTATTCTTCCTACTATACAGATTCTGAAAAGTATAGTTACAGCTCAAAAATCAGAATCATCCCAGTGTAATAACTAAGTAAAAATAATTTAATTAACTGCTGCAAATAATCAAGCACCTGCTATGCTTTAATACCTCTTGAGCTAAAGACTGCACAAATTAAACCAACAGCACCTGAAATTTACAGTTAAATCACAACAAATTATGCATATAGAGCAAAAACCCATTTACAAACATCAGCGAATAAAAAATTAGTACAAGTATATTATAGCAGTTGACTGGGGCAAATAATCAGACACCTAAGATGCATTACTACATAACCTACTTCAACAATCAGCAGCCCAATAATTGAGCCAAAAATTGCATAATTACAGCATCAGACAAAATTTTACCTTCCCCCGTAGAAATTTCAACCAACTATTAGAAGCAAAATGAGTAGAAATCCCTAATAGCGATGTTTTTGAGATGAAATTAAGATAAAATGATGAAGCCCTACACCGCCGCCATGTTATCTTTGTTCGCCCCTACAAGAACTAAGTATTTAAGGGTAGAGAATTGAATAACAGTTAGTTGTTAATTAAGAAATCAGAAAATTATAGCAAATGAGAAAGGACAGAGAGGTCCAAAGGTAAAACGGGAAAAGAAAAAATTAATTGAATCTTTAGGAAATCCGAAAAAAAAAACATAGCGAATGAGAAAGGGCGACAAATGATTATTTAACGGTAGGGAATTGAATAAGATGTACATTAAGAAATCACAAAAAAGAAATTTAACAAATGAGAAAGGATGGACGAATCAGAGGATAAAATGGGGACAAATGAGAGGGATAGACAAACCTAAAGGTAGAATGGTAAAAATAATTGGAAATGATAAAAAATTAAGAAATCCAAAAAATATAGCAAATGAGAAAGGGCACCAGATGATTATTCAAGGGTAGGGAATTGAATAACATGTCCATTAATAAATAACAAAAAGAGATGATTTTAGAAACCTCCATTAAGGTTTCTAATAGTTTCACTTAACACTATTAAATTTTTAAAAATCTCACTTAACTCCCCAGACTTAAACTTTTTGTAACATTTGAAACTCATTTCAAAATATAATATTAAAAAATTCATTTTGGGAGAGTGAATACAATTTCATTCCAAGTTGGCCCTTTTCTTATGATTTCTTAATTATCATAATATGCCAAATCTATTACTTAACTTTTGCAAATTGATCAATGTCTCTTTAACAATTTTTGTGTCACTGCTTCAGATAAAATAGGTTAAATTACCTAAAATTATGAATAATTTATATTACTCTTAAAAATGACTTGCAATAATTTATAACCATGAGAATATCTTTTTGGACTAACTTAAAAATAATAAAAAACAAGTTTATATATAAAATTTAGCATGTTGTATCTTTTTAGTTATCAAGCCATCGATTTAGAAAAAATTAAAAAATGTGTAAATGATTTATTAATTAACTCAAAACACTTTGATAAAATGAGAGGAGATAGACAAATTCAAGGGTAAAACGGTTAAAAAAAAGGGTTATAGATCCACCGAAGCGGGAAGCCTTAACCGGCTGTGTTGGTAACAGTTAAGGCCCGAAGGCCGTTCCCGTCCCTGTCGGGGGAGATGCCAACCATCTCTCCTTCTTATGAGCACGGTGCTTAAAGCTTATCCAACAGGCCGATGTGGGACAAGTTTCGGATACGACAATCCCAAAAGAAATGGATACTAAAAAATATAAAGTCGCTGTGGTAAACTTAAGTACAGAAAAATTTTCGTGATTTCAAAACATACAATATGATGTCACATACTTTGAACTAATTTGTAAAAGTGACGGAATTCGTTAAAATTAATGAAAATGACCATTAATTTTAACGAATTCCGTCACCTTTATAATTAGTTCAAAACATGAGATGTCGTGTTTTGAAATCATGGAATTTTTCTATGTATTAGATTTATCACGAGTGATTTTTTTGTCTTTTGATCCAAAGAAAATCGATTTGCTTCGTACTATCCCTGTGCACTTAAACACGCTTGTCATTAGTGGCGTATAAGAACCCATCTTTTTGGACGCTTGACCATTTTTTATAGTTTCATTGGGCTAATATTGTTCACGTTTAAAACAATGACACCTACGTGAATATAAATAATATATAGGGAACGAATTACACGTGAATGAAAAAGTTTCATATTAACCTGAGAAAGAACTGAATTGTAATCATGACTTACAAAAACTCCAAAATTTCATTGCTTTATTTACCCAAAAAACAAGTAGAATTTTTAGGGCTCCGGTTAATGTTTTAAAACCCGGACCGTCAAGTGAACCGGTAAAGTGAAAGGATCGAGGTTCAATCAGTCAGACCGGTTCAATCCCGGTTCAATAAATAAATAAATAAATAAATAAATAAATAGTATATTATATATACATATACATATACATATACATATACATATATATATATATCCTAATTTGCATCTCCTGTTAGTGTACTATCTACGTGCCTCTCCACGAACAGCAGAATTAGAGTTGAATCTAAATGCAAATTTCCTAGATCAGGAAACACACACACACACACCTATGCACAAAATAAGATATAAATGCTAAACTACAATTAACATAAGAGCAATATCCACCAATTCACGCACACAATTAACATAGTTATCCAACTTACATGTCCAATTGTCTAAATATTAGAATTAACAAAAAACAATACAAGTCTAGAAAACAATCAAAGGTCCAAACAAGTCCAATTTCTGAGGCTTCTATAATCTTCTTTGTAACGATTCGAATTCTTAATCTTCCATCCCAAAAAGCACTTAAGATCTTTATGGTGGCCAGGCCAGCAGCCTAACAAGCCGTTGGTGGAATTTAGCAGTGAAGTACTGGGCCTTGAGAGTATTCCTTTGTAGTGAAACAGTGAATTAGAAAAGCAGTAGAAACCGGCAGATGCATTTCTTCCTTTTTCCGTTCTTCAAGAATAAAAAATAAAAAGCTTGAGATTGATCCCTGTTTTTGTGCCGGTCAGCCACGTTAAGCTTACGCATGATTGATCAAAGAAGCTTTTGCAGTGAAGGTCCAAAAGGATTAGAATAATTTATTTTGCTTCAAAAACAAATTGAAACTTATTTATCACATTAAGATTTTACTAGGACATCATATGCAACTTTTTCCACTTATGACCATGAAACTTTCTATCTAAATTGGTACAAATCCTTACTAGACTATCATGCATCACACAATCATTACCTCAAAGACAGCAGTGAGTCATGTTTCAGAGCCTATCTTAAATTTGTATGTTTCCTACATTTTCGATCACCATAAGGCCAAGGTAGGAAACGGACATCAATAGAATAGACTGAGTGGCCAAAAATTTGACCACCAATTAACTGACATTTTGGTTGTCGGCCAAAAACTGAGTGGGAGTCTACCTCCCTTAAGTTCCGGTTTCACCAGCGGCGCAACTCAACAACAGGGCAACCAAATTATCTAATGAGTAAAAAAAAATGAAAATTGCAGGACAAACAGACTGACAGCTTATCTAATTTGAGGACAAACCAAAAAAAAAAATGATTTAGGCTGATCAGCTTATAATATAATCATTTAGGCTGCTGCTGCAATGACAAGTTAATAAGGATCATATGCCCAAAAATTACAGCAGTATATATACAGAGGGCCGAGGGGACGGAAGGGCAACCAAAACCCAGTAATCAACAACGAAAGGAAAAAAAAGGGAAAAAGGATAAACGAACCTGGTATAAGATTGAGGCCTTTCAGGAGTGCAATAGAATGGGAAAACGTTTCAACTCGGCAGGTTCACTTTCAGTGCTGGTAATGCTGTACAAGACTCGATCATAAATTTTGTCCCTAAAGCTGTTGATTAATTGATGGATAGCAGCTGAGAATCGAAACAAAGGGAATTGAGTTGCTCCATAGATCACTGTCCGTGATTGATTCCAGACTCCAGAGTTTTTTTTGGCTTAGAACTTAGAAGCGGTGCGGTGAGTAGAAAAACAGAAACTTCATGCTTCCTTTTTGCTGATTGCTATGGATCAGCTAGAGACGGAGCAGATTAAGGGTGAAGGAGCTAGAGACAGCAAGCAATTTGGGCAATTGTAGAGGAAGCAGAAGGAAGACCGAAGCGGCGGACCGAAGCGGCGAAGCGAAGAGTGAACTGAAGAAGTGAAGATTAGCCGATTAGGTTTAGACTAGGAGAGGTTCACCGCGCATCGAGCCCAGTTATACCCGCTTATTTTGCTAATTATTATGTAGCAGATGTAAATGAAAAACAAAATATTCAGAGTTGTACTCTTAGAAATTATATATAATTAGTTCAAAATTGTAAAAATATGAAATTCAAGAGATGAAAATTATTATACAACACCTTTACAAAAGGCCAGAAAAACATGATTAGAACATACACAACTGGCCATTGATCCAATATACAAATTATATTGTGCTCTCCTCAAAATTTACGAATGAAATCTCATTCTTAAAAAGCATCAACAGTAACATACTTGCATTAATTAACATAATTAAAAACTCTTTCTCAACATATCTTGTCTTTTGAGTTTTGAGGAAAGCGACCTCACAATTTCTGCACAGCTTTGATGCTAGAGAGGTTTTACAGCATTATGGGATAAAGCCAATCAAAAGAAAAATAAAATCCTCCAAAAAATATCAAGGATATACATCATAAAGAAACCTCATTTTTTTCTTTTTCTTTTTCTTTTTTGGGTACATTGGAAAAGGTCATAATCTCTTAAATAGAAACAAAATGAGAATAAGCAATTGCTAACACATACGCATCCAACAAATCTCGCATCTCTGCAGGGATGTCATCAAGAACTTGTAAACCCAATGGACCATTAATGCTGCACTTGGCCAATCAATTTGTATATTGATTGCATTCCCTCCAAATATGACTCAGCTAACAGCCCCAGCCTCTTTGCTTTAACTCTCATATCTGAATAAGAAGATTATGATCTGCGGAGTTTTGATACCTAAATTTTTGACTAAAACTGCATGCAAGAAAAAGACCAATCAAATGGATCTACATATACCGTGCAATAGTAAGGGGCATAGATGACTGGTAATATCCTTCACATCATGCAAGTCAATCTCACAACTATCATTTGGAGTAGTCCCATGCTGTTTCAAAAGATGCAAGCTAAATTGCTAAATGAAAATAAGAGGTTTGCCATATGCAAAAAACTCGTCAATGGTTTCCAAACAAAATTTACTCTCAGTTTCGACGTTATGTACAACTAAAAACTAACTAAATTTAAGTGCAAACATCTGCTCCAAAATCTAACTTGGCAACTTTTCGTATAGGAGAACAAAAGAATCAAGAAGATTTCTCAATAAAGCAGGACAAAAGGAAGTTTCTAAAAATTTTCAACTTAACTTTGATGCTCTTAGCCCAAGGACAACAAAAAATTAGAACAATCCACTAAAATAAAATATAGAAGAAACTTTTCATGAAAGGGAGAGGAAGGAGAGAAAATATTAACGGCATTCAGAGGAGGAAGGGAGAAAAGAATATAGCAACAGAAGAAAGAATGAAGTAGAAGGGGAGACAACATTGGAAAAAAAAAGAAGAACTGTCTAGAGTAAGCTATAACCTTGTAAGCAACTCAAAAACAAAGATAAGATATGAAGTAATTTTCTTTTACACTGCACACTGGCCAATATTTACAGCCTCAAAACCAGCTAGAATTCCTCAAATTCAAACAAGTCGGTATCTTATTATTTTCTTTATTAGTAAAAAGAAAACAAATAATATCATACTTTTCCATTCCAAACAAATTAATACAAGGTAGACCATAAAACTGCCAAGTAGTCTGAATTTTCATTATAAACCATGCGGCCAATATCGAATAGTAAAGCTACAAGTCAAAACACAACTGCATAAGCAAATGCCATAATGAGCTTCACGAGAAACAGGAAAAAACTCACATGAGAAATTTACGAAGCACAGACAATTATCAGGTTGATACAATTTTGGAGAAAGTTGTCAACTGGTATTTTGGGAGGAAAACATCTAGTCACCGTATTATGAGTGACCAACTAGTATTTATAGGAGTACAAACCTAACAAACTATTTACAAGAATACCCTTACTAATTTATTATCTACAAGAATACTTATATTCTCTTGACACTCCCCCTCAAGTTGGAGCATATATATCATAAGCACCCAACTTGTTACAAATGTATTTCACCCTAGAACCCCCTAAACTCTTGGTAAACACATCAGCCAATTGATCTACAGACGGTACATGAGATGTCTTGATGACCCCGTCAAGCAATTTCTCTCGAATGAAATGACAATCAACTTCAATATGTTTTGTCCTTTCATGAAACACTGGATTAGACGCAATATGAACAGCCGCCTGATTATCACACACTAAATTCATAGGCTGTTTATGCTCAAACCCAAGTTCCAGTAATATGCTCTTCAACCAAACCAACTCACACACAGTGTGAGCCATAGCGCGGTATTCAGATTCTGCACTTGATCTGGATACAACTGTTTGCTTCTTACTCTTCCACGACACTAAATTACCACCAACAAACACACAATATCCTGTAGTCGATCTTCGATCTGAGGCAGAACCAGCCCAATCTGCATCACTATATCCTTCAATATCAGTGTGTCCATGATTTTGATACAGCAACCCTTTTCCAGGAGCACTCTTAAGATATCTGAGAATCCGTATAACAGCATCCCAATGACTAGTACGAGGGGTATCAAGAAATTGACTCACAACACTCACTGCAAACGAAATGCCAGGTCTCGTTACAGTGAGATAATTTAATTTACCCACAAGTCTTCGATATTGCTTAGGATCATCAAGTAATGCACCTTGATCTCCTGCTAATTTCACATTTGGATCCATAGGAGTATCCACAGGTCGGCAACCTAACATCCCAACTTCACTCAACATATCGAGTACATATTTTCTTTGACATAAATAAATCCCATATTTAGACCGAGCTACCTCAATACCCAGAAAATACTGTAGATGACCTAAATCCTTTGTCTGAAAGTTTGCCTGCAGATTGGATTTAAGTTTCTGAATCCCCACAACATCATCACCTGTAATCACAATGTCATCCACATAAACAACTAATAAAATTTTACCAGCATTAGAATGCCGATAAAATACAGAGTGATCTACTCCACATCTTGTCAGACCGAACTCCATGACAACACTACTAAACCGGCCAAACCAAGCCCTCGGAGACTGTTTCAATCCATATAAGGATTTTTTCAAACGACAAACCAACCGCGGATTCTCCCCCTGAACAACAAATCCAGGAGGTTGTTCCATATATACCTCTTCTTTCAAATCTCCATGCAGAAATGCATTTTTCACATCCAACTGATGCAATGGCCAATTATAAGTGGCTGCCAAAGAGATAAGAAGACGAACAGAGGTAATCTTTGCAACAGGAGAAAAAGTTTCTAAGTAATCTACTCCATACACCTGAGTAAATCCTCTAGCTACCAGCCGAGCCTTCAATCTATCAATAGAACCATTAGGCTGCACTTTTATAGTGTACACCCATTTACAACCAACAACAGGCTTACCTGAAGGACGAGGGACAAGATCCCAAGTACCATTTTGTTCCAAAGCAGACATCTCTTCTTGCATAGCTAATCTCCAACCAGGATGATTAAGAGCATAGGTAATAGACTTAGGAATGGAGATAGAATCAAGGGAAGCAACAAAAGAAGAATATGACATAGAGAGACGAGAATAAGAAACAAAATTAGAAATAGGATGGGAAGTACAATGTCTCTTACCTTTGCGTAAAGCAATGGGAAGATCTAACTCAGAGGAGGGCGTCATACCTGGATTGGAAGATTGAGAATTAATTGGTGAAGTGCGTGGCATATCAGGAACTTTTTCAACCATGGAACGACGAGAGTAAACTTGAAGATGAGGACGAGATAATCGAGCTATGGAATCTGGTGGACTAGATAACTCAGGTAATAAAGGGGAAGGGACTGGTAAAACAGGAGAGGAAAAAGAGGGACACTGGTCTAACTCACAAGACATACTTTGTTTGATAAAATACGGAGTGGATTCAAAGAAAGTAACATCAGCACAAGTAAAAAATCGATTTAAAACTGGACTGTAACATCTATACCCTTTTTGCGCTCGTGCATATCCTAAGAAAATACACTTAATAGCACGAGAATCTAATTTATCCACCCCGGGAGCAAGCTGATGAACAAAGCAGACACATCCAAAAATACGAGGAGGCAATTTAAACACAGGTTCATGAGGAAAAAGAATGGAGTGAGGTAATTGACCTTCAAGAATATTAGATGGCATGCGATTAATTAAATAACATGCAGTTAGAACTGCATCACTCCAAAATTGTTTGGGCACATTCATGTGCAACAACAGTGTTCGAGCAATTTCGATTAAATGTCCAATTTTCCTTTCAGCAACTCCATTCTGTTGTGGAGTGTGAGGACAAGAGGACTGATGAATAATACCAGACTTAGTCATAAAGGTATTAAAAGGAGTGGAAAAATATTCTTTCGCATTATCACTGCGAAGTATACGCACAGGCACACCAAATTGATTCTTTATTTCTGTAACAAATGCACAAAAAATGGAATATAATTCTGAACGATCTTTCATTAAATAAAGCCATGTAACTCTGGAAAAATCATCAACAAAGACTACAAAATATTTAAAACCTAACTTTGAAGTGACTCGACTAGGACCCCAAACATCAGAATGAACTAACAAAAAGGGTTCAGAAACCCGTTTATTGACTTTAGGAGCAAAAGAAACACGATGATGCTTTCCTAACTGACAAGACTCACATTCTAACGAAGATAATTGATTCAAAGTAGGAACCAACTTTTTCAAATTTTGTAAAGACGGATGACCTAAACGACAGTGAATTTCAAGAGGAGAAACAGTAGCAGGACATGCTATCGGACCATTAAAGTTGAGAAAGTAAAGACCATTATGCTCATGCCCTCCACCAATCGTCCTCTTTGTCTTCAAATCCTGAATGACAACGGAATCAGGAGAAAAAGTAACTGTACACTGTAGAAATTTAGTGAGCTTACTAACAGACATTAGATTAAATGGTAAATTGGGTACGTAAAGAACAGAAGACAGCGGAAGTGATGGATTAATTTCTACAGTGCCTAGTCCTTTAACTTT